TTTTTTTCTATTAAACTTTTTTATTACTGTTTGGGGTGCTACAAAAAGTCACAAGAGATTTTTATCCAATCAGATGCTGAGAATCGCACACATCATTTCACTCGCCTGTAAACCATACACTACGTACTTTGTACTCCGTTCCTGGTATATATCCACTTCGGTAGTTACAACGTACGTACGTACGTACGTACGTTGTGATAGGCGAATCTGGCGCAGCCTCATCTAGAATTGGGCTGTGCTATTTCTATATATATATATATTATTATTTTTGACAGTAATTGCCATTTTTAGTTAGTGAGGTTGGGGAATGGACGAAATGGACGAAATGGAGTCCATGGATTCCATTGACTCAATAGAGTCGATGGATTGAATAAATTCTATTTTTCTTTTCTTAGTCTGTAAAAAATATGAATATAAGAGCTTTATGCTCACCTTGAATAAAGAATAACCCAGTTGAGTTTTAAACTTCGAAATCCTAATAGTAGAAGTTGGTTCCTTAATAAATTGTCCTCTTTGACCCAAAACGTTCCCAATAAACCCAAAGTCTGCCCAATAGTAGTATAGAAATATTGTCGTTTATAAGAAACTAGAGAGAAGCAAAAAGACCCTATTCAAAATACCTGATTTTATACTTAATTATCCTGACGTATTGTTATCACTAATTAGTATAACAATCAGATCGCATTATTATTAATATTAATTACTTCGATCACCCAAATTACCCGTGATATCAGAATCTCGTGACGTCAGTCACATATTGAAAATCCAATTCCCGATATCCCTTACCCGTAACATCATCGTTAAGTGACTTAACGATCGCAATCGCCGATCGCCGCAGTTATCCAAGTGACGTACACATGACCCGAAAAGACCGAAACGTTCTAAATCGCAGATACAGAAGCATTATAGTTGAAGTTCTTAATATAATCAAGCAACTAATAAGCTAAAAGGATACAGAGTGCTTATCTAAGGCCAGTAACATCACCACAAGACCTGAAAGATCTTGAAACTCGGACCAAGTCTTTCCATGCCCTCTTTTCGCCTTCCAAATCAAGGTTTTAGGCGTCTTGAAGCTAGATATTGGATTGATTAGTTGTTTAGATTAGTGTTTTAGCTAGTTTTGGATTAGAACATTTGGTCACCACTTTCACAACATACGTACGTACATACTAGAGTTGCAGGTGAAACTAATCTCAATAGTGCACCGATGGAGCACCAGGTAAAACTGGTGAAACTGGTGCACCGATGGTAAAACTAGAGTTATAAATGAAACTAATCTTCAATGGTGTACCAGTTTCCTGGTGAAATTAATTAGTTTCACCCACAACTCTAGTATGTACGTACGTTGAGAAAGTGGAGACTAACAATTCTACACTAAAACTAACTAAACACTAGACTAAACAACCAAAATTGAATGACAATCTGCTCAAGACTCCGAAAACCTTGAGTGGAAGGCGTCGAATAGAGGCATGGAAGATTTGGTCCGAAAATCAAGGTACTTTGGGGTGTTGTTATGTGTTGCCGGGGTTTAGATAAGTATTTCTAGTCTTGTTATTACTTCAGTTGTTTGTTTTGCTTCAATAATCCTAATACTAATTTCTTTTGTTCTTTCAATTTTAAAGGCACTACCGGCTTCGGTCACGTGTGACGTAGTAGAGACAACTGGGTGTATACCACGAGAAATTTAGAAGATCAGTTTTATTGTTCGATTTATGCCAATAATAATGAGGTCACGGGATGATCCACTTGAGTTACTATATAAGGGAAGTAATACGATTTCAATTCTTTCTCTTTCTTTCGATTGATCAAGGCTTTCCGATATTAACAATAATCTCGGGGTAGGGAAATAAGCGATTTATTGAAAAAAAATTTTATGTCAAAGGGACAAAGATTTTTAGGGAACAATTTCTACTATAATGATTTTGAAGTTTTTGAGTTTTAGAACTCAGTAGAGTTATCTTTATTAGCGTGAAAGGACATCGCTTTATATAGTTTTTACATTACTACGGCTTTTAATGGCTCAGCAACTAACCTCGCATATACCAAAAAGTTTTCATCAAAAAGATCAAGAAAATTTAATAAATTAAATTTATTAAATTTTCACGATCGTTTTGTAATTCAATCCTACCAAAACGGGTAAGGGTTCTTATTTCGTCTCAAATTTACTATATAATTTAATTCTGCTAAGCTTATATATAATATAACTAGTAAAAGGTATAAAAATAGTAAAGAAAAAATAAAAAAAAAATAGACAAACAATGAATTTGGGGTCACGGGAGCCCCTCACAACGTACGTAAGTTAGTGATGTCCAAAAAATTCTGCCTTTCGTGTGACCCGAGCTTTTGGACTAGGCGATAATGCTGGTCACCTATATGTTAGCAAAATTCCGATCTGAGTAGTAAATTTTTGTGATTTTAGACAAATTTAGTTAATTCCAGAAGCTCGGATTACACGAAAAGTTAAAATTTTTTGGACATCACTAACTTATCGGAAACAAAGAATTCGGTCGGTACATTGCCTCAGTATAATCTTTTGCCGACTGAAAATTATATCATCGAAAATAATTATCGAAATTTACCGACCATCACATTACTAATTCTCAAATTAGCTGTAAACTAATATACAACTATTTTATAGATAGCTATTGATCGGCTATACCGGTTATTTAGCCGCGGCTAGAGGTTTTGGTCATAATCCCGAAAAACAGATTCCTGAAGAACATAATATTGACTAAATCGGTCAGCATTATAGCTAATGCAGCTACCTATACATGGGTCAAATTATTTTTTTAGAGGTAATTCGGCAAACATTTCGACATTGATAGTTTTTTTTATACGAATTCCACAAAGTAATTATACTACCTTATGTATTTTGATATAAAGAATTCAAATAATTTAACTGAAAATTTCGACAACTATGAAATTTAATTTCGCCACTAAGAAAAATTTAATCTCAACAGACTAAATGTCAAAATAATTTTAATTAAGAGGAATAATTTAGACACCCATGTATACCGGCTACCTTTGTCGGTATTATGTTCTTTCGGGATTCTGACCCAAATTGCGGCTAGCGATATAGCCAGCCGATAGCTGTGTTTGTAGAAGAATAACAATGATCTCGAAATATTCTTTAACCTGTCGTTAATTAAAAATAAGGTAAAATGACCATCAATTACTAATGTTTGGTTAGTGTAGATCTGCCAATTACACGCTAAAAGATCTGAACAATGAGTAGGTGCTACGATATACAAATAATAGGGAAAATGTATACCCGTTGAAATGACTGGGAACTCATGACATCTCGTGACAGCCCCAAAATTTTTGAATATTTCCATGACAATGATTAAAATTGCAAACCTTCTGATTTACTGGATAATCCGATTAGAAAAGTGGAATTTATGAATAATTATTTGATCATCAAACAAAAATTTCGAGCATCGAAATAAACTTTCATTCATTGAGTTTTTTACTTCAGTAAATCATGGAGCATCAAAGTTAAATTTTACTGTTTTGATAGTTATAAATTTTTTGGTTTAAATTACAGTTTTATAAATATTTATTTAAAAAATTTCTAATATAGATGATTCTGTTACTGAAATACTGCATATATTATACGTGAGCGTGGCATGCTTAAAAAATCGATTCAGTCGTAATAACCAATAAAAGAAAATCAATATGGTGAACTCATTTTTATCAAATCCAAAATTATTCAGTAGAATGTTACTTCTAAAACGTAATGTGAAGATGATAAATTTTTAGTATTCATAATATTATATTGTATATGTTTCTTTCATAAATGGAAAATTAAAACGTCAACGAACATTTGAATATTTGGTCAAATTTTTACAGATGCTCGAAGATCAAAAGATAGGACCAAACAATGCTCGAACTCATCGATTCCAATTTCTACTCAATTGTTTAAATAAAATTTTTAATAAACCAAAATTATAAAATTTATGATCGTGTTTATAAGTCAATATTTGCTAAATGAGTTTCAATTCGAATATGTTATTTTACGCAATAACACACAAATAGGATATAATCAGTAATTATAAATTTCTCTATGACAATTCGGGACGTTATATTGACACGGCATCCATATAACTTATTTTACCAGGCGCACAAAATCGACATTGATACCTCTTTTTTTGGAATTTACTGAAACAAGATAGTTCATACGGTCATATGTGTTTTTAAAATAGAATATCAATATTTAATTTCCGTTTCAGCATGACATTCCAAAAATGCGTTTTTAATTATTTGTTTATCAGGCTATCTATTAATTATGGATGCGATCAACTCTCGTTTATCTGAACGGATACTGTATGCGGATCCCATCTTTGAGAAGTTACTGATTGCAAATTTCAGAAGTGACAACGATTAAAAACTGTAAAAATCCGAGAATTGAGAATTGTTAACTAGTCAGTGAGTGACTATCCTTCTACATGCTTGCATACGTACGTACGTACGTACGGACCTACGTTTTACCCCGACTACGTTATCATTATGTAAATGACAATCGACAAAAAATAATCTTCCGGGTATGATTTTCACACATACAGTATTACTTAGAATTATAGATCGTTCATACTCAATATATATGTGATAAACTTCTATATACACATGCATACAGTATATATATATGTACTTAATAACGCTTTAGGAAGTTCCAAACTATTTGGATATCATTACTTAATCAAGAACGATAATATCATTATCTGGATTATAGATTATCAAATTTAAACATCTATGTATTAGGAAAATTTATTTAATATATATAATTCATTTTATTTTTTACCGACGAAATACAAGAGATCTTTTTTATGAAACAATGATTTTAAGTAATACAAAATGAATTTTGGCCGAGCTTGTTTTAATAAAAAGCTGGGTTGCAGGTCACTTTTAAAATGAAAACCAAAAAATTAGTTTTATGCACTCTTATATACATTGTAAACAAAAATGTCAAATACCGACTCCGTCGTCCTCGTATATACACCATCTTGTCATGAGCAAGAATTGCCTCCGCAAAGATCCTCCCGGATAAAATTCAATTTTTCATTTATGTTTACAAGACGATTTCTTATAATACTTTTACTTGGACAATTTCTTTCGCTTTGTATAACCTCTACAATTGTGACTACCGCAGAATTAAAAATTAATCTCCCTACCACTCAAACCTTTTTGACGTATTTTGTGCTATTTATCACTTGCACTCCATTTACTATTTCTAAATATGGATTTGCAGGGTTTTTTAAAATGGTTAAAAATGATTCTTGGAAATGTAAGTTTTATTCTTTCTCTAATACTAGTTATATATTATAAAAATTAGCATTGATCTGAAATAAATAAATAAATAAATAAATATATGTATATATATATTTATGTATTTAGATATTACAATAGCCTTTACGAATGTTCAAGGAAATTATTTTATTGTAAAATCTTTCGAGTATACTTCTACACTTTCTCTGATGTTACTCGATGCATGGACAACTCCTATGGTTGCAGTCTTCTCAATAATGTTTTTGAAAGTAAGATACCGTTTCAATCAATATTTGGGCATTTTTATTTGTATCATTGGTTCTGGTATTGTAATCTGGGGTGATGTTGATATTGGTAAAAATATGTATTTTGGTAAGTGATCTATTTTTATTTTTAAATATTGAATATTGTAAAAACAGATTATATATATTTTATATTTATTTGTTTTCTGAACTTTAGCTAAAGATCCAATAAAAGGCGATTTATTCGCTTTGATCGGTGCAACTTGCTACGGTATTTCGAATGTATTAGAAGAATATTGTGTGAATAAAAAGCCATTACATGAGGTTCTTGGTCAAATGGGATTTTGGGGCACCTTTATTAGTATTATACAAATGTGTGTTTTTGTTTCTTTTATTTGTATTTTTTAATTCAACTCTAACTACTTTTATTTCTACATTTATAGTGTAATTCTGGAATTTGATGATGTGAAAAACTTAGTATTAACTCCAAGAATAGGTAATATTATTAATCATCATCTCAATGATTATTTCATTCATCATTATTAAATTTTATATACTCATTATTTATATAATATTTTTTTCTTTAGCTGCCCTTATAATTGCATACACTATCGCAATGCTTTTATTATACGTTGGAATTTCGGTCTTTTTACGTCTTTCATCCGCCTTATTTTTCAATTTATCTTTACTCACTAGCGATTTTTATACTTTAATATTTAACTATTTCATAATCAAAGAACCGGTAAGCGTATTTTAAAAAGGTTTAAAAAAATACGTTCTTTTTCCACTAAAATTAATCCCAACTATCTATCTATTAGATGTCTCGATTATATCCAATAGCATTCTGTGGTACAATACTTGGACTTATAATATATTACATTAGTCCTGAAGATAAGCCTATAATTACTCAGGAAAATAATAATGAGCCTATTAATGACACTATTCTTATAGAATTAGATCCGGATAACAAGCTTGATGTTTGATTTTCTCAGTCAAATTACTCAATTTTATTTAAATCTTGAATTAGATTAATAGTATTATAATAATATTTAATATCTAATGCCTTTTATTAAAAATTCAACCGACCAATTTTTATCTAAAAATCAAAAATGGCTGATCTGATTTTTTTTTGATAAACATACGATCTATACAGTTGTATAAAATTTATTTATTTATTTTAATTTAAATTTATTTTACTTATTTAATGGGCTGAAATGGAGGAGAGGACCTTTGTATGGTCTACAATATTTGGGTTGATGTCCGGCTCCCATCCCTGTAATTAGATAACTCTTGAGCAGTCATATCCCCTGTAAAAATTTAGTTAACGCTAATTATAGACTATTAACGTGATATTAAAAATGACGTTCAACATAATAAATATAATAACATAATAAATGAAAGACGATTAACAAAAGCCAATTAAAAGCTAATTATTAATTTATTGTATCGATGCAAATATATGAAAGAATTTATGCATCTGAACAAAAGGCTATAAGAAATGACACTAGAATAATAAGACTGGCTTTTATGACACCCGCCGAAATAATGAGTCTACAAAAAGGCAAGCTCGACGAAAACATCAAAGTAAATTTTGCGAAAAAAGAAAATACAAATACAAGTGACGAACGTAATACGTATTTATTTATATTTTCAAATTCTAATTTGTGGCTATTTGTATTGACTAAGCTTTTTTTAGAATGCCAAAATATTTTAACACTACCACTTGCATACTAGCTTTCTCCTGACGATCATAGTCTTCTAAAGAAATTTCGTGACGCAGTTTCTGCACCTAAATTTAATTTCTGCCCTATTTGTAAAGAGAGTTTTCTTACGATTGCATTAGCACATAAGACGGGATTATGTTGTAGATGTAGTCTACACCAAAAAAGTTTTCAAATGAAAATTATATGAACTCAGTATATAAAAATTAATAAACTTATAAAAGATGATGTATATTTAAATGCACGTGCATTAATATAAACATAAAAATATGCTACTTAAAATTCACAAATTTCTATAAACATATATATATTTGCTATACATATTTTATTGTTAAACACTTAAGAAGTAAGGCGTTAGCACTATGAAACGTCGCCGTATTGCTAGTACATAAAATAGAGCGTTCCTTTACAGTTTCCTTTACTGTTCGTTATAAAATGTTCTAATAATTTTATAAATATCGATATGTAAAAATACTTTTTTTGTTCATGGTTTTACGAGACTAGTTACCTAATTAGGTCAAAAATTGTTCTATTTTTATATTAAAATCAGATTGGTCAGAATTACAGGGGTAGAGCAATGGATGATGTTGCGCAACTGATGATCAGATTACATATACGTATCAGGTATAAAAAATGACGTACGTACATATGTATAGGGATGTTAAAACGGTCTGTCAATCTGATCCAGGATCGGTGCGATCCGATTAGAGTGTCCAGGATTATGCGCCGGTAATTGCCAAATTATGTGTGCGGCAAATTGCAAATTATGCGAATTATGTGGGGTTTTTTACTATATATAAAATAAATTAAATTTTTGTTTCTATTGTATTATATACAAAAAAATAGCTCATTTATTATTTATTCGAATTAAATTTGATTTAGTTAATGCTAAGAATTCTATATAATTTAAATCAAATTTATATTAACATCGATTAAAATAAATCTAATTCATATCACGTTGATTAAAATATAAGATATTTA